TTTTGGCTTTATAGGTTTTTGAGGATATTTTCAAAAATTAATTGTACAAAGTAATTCGAGATCTACTAAAAATTTCTGTCATTTTTCAAAAATTTATACAAATAACTATCAAAGAAGACACATATTTAAAAAGTTGTGCAAAGAATAATTTTCTGAACTATGTAGCTGGAAAAGAATAACGTCACATTTAACGATATAAGACAGTTTAAACAAAAATTATTTGCTAACATTTATAAAGCCATAATTATTTAAACTAAAGAGACTTGATCAATTACTAAAAATGACATTAAGCCAAAAATTGATGTTCGAATAACTCTAAGATATTTTTAAAAATAAAATAGGAATACAAACAATAAGTTGTAATTTAAAAACTCTATTTTTCTTTAACTAAAATTTTCTTTGTATATATATATATATATATATATATGTGTGTGTGTGTGTGTGTGTGTGTGTATAGAAGAAATCTATTATCATATTACTCTATTATTAATCATACTAAATCCTTTTTTCTGATTGAAATAGCATTGTTAATACTGGAAGTAGGTTTAAATGGAATTTTGAAGAAAATAAGTTAAATATTGATCATAAAGAATATTAACAATTAGTTTTATTATCATCATAGGTAGATTTTATGAGATGATTTTACTGATTGATTTTGAACCAAATTTTGAATTTAATTTAATTATTTTATACAAGTGTAAAATAATTGTGTATATTATCTATTATAAACATACGAAATTTAATGAAAATACGTGTTAATTATTTTTCAAAAAATACCACTAATTATATGATATTATTAAAACTAATTCTTTTAATTAATATATTATCTTAATTAATAAATATAGACACATACAAATATACTACTAAACCATCGATTTTATTACGAAAAATATTTTTAATTTAATTTAATTTTTTTTTCTTTTTTTTCTGAAAATGCATCAATTTATAGTCACATTTTGTAATCACTTGGTATCAATGAGCTATATATATATATATATATATATATATATATAGCTCATTGATATTTTAATTTATATATATAAATTAAAATATAAAAAAACTCATATATATTCAAATGGTTTTTTTTTATGCTAAAGTATTGCAGGTTTTAATCAGTAATGAAAATGTAAATATAGAAGTATGCTATTGTAGAAAAATATACTAAATACAACCATTTCATGTAAGAGAAAAGTTGTGAAGTAGAAGTGATAACTAGTAGAATTACACTACTACATGATGTGTGTTTTTACACGCATTGTGCACAAATAGGTTTTCACATCTAATTTGGAAAAACAAATAAATAGTGTTAGACAGTTAACCTTTTTTAAGATGTCACTACTTAACTTATAAAGACTAACTTTTCATTGAAATTTTATTTTACATTTGTATACTTATTAATAAATAAAAATTAAATAGAATTGGTAGTTTCATTGTAAAACATATAAATTACATAATATTTGGAAAAATTTGAGTTTTTTACATATATAATAAAAAATGGTAAAGAGTAGTAAATTCTTGACCCTAAGGCAACTTAATATGTAATGCAAAGCAATTCTTTAAAAAAATTTAAGTTGAAATCAACACACTTTAGTAAGCATATTAGCCACATATTTGAGAAATAGATTGTAAAATAATATATATATATATATATATATATATATATATATATAAACCTGCACTTTAATATTTGACTTTTACATATTTTAAAATATTTGGAACTAGAAAGTTAAAAATACTTGGTAAAGATGAACTCATAGATATATATAATCCCTAAAATATATATAATTTAAAAAACAAATACAGTTTTACCAAAAAAAAATATTTGAATGTTCACTAGCAACAGAATTTAATATATTTTCAACTTGAAAATCAAACATGTTTGATAAATTTTGAAGATGTTGGAAAAGTTAAAATAGAAGAAAACTGTACATTTCAAACTAACTATCAAATCAATCTGAAAAAATTTGAGGAGAGGAAGAGGATTAAGAACATTATCATTTTTATTGAAATATATTTCATTTATTTCAAAAATTCCAATTTGAAACTTTACATCTTTTATCTTAGTCACTCTAATGTTTCCTAAAATTTTCAAATGTAATTTATTTTAAAGTTTTATTTTTTAATCATAAGCATCAAAATATGTGAAAACAATGGAACCAAGCATGATGTTTTAAAGTTTTACTACTAAGTTCCATACTTCGAAAAGCTCTAAAATTATTCGTAGAAAGAGAATTAAAACAGTTGTATTTTAATAAGTTGAAACAGATAAGAATTGTTGTTATTATGCAAGCATAAATTGAGATTTCTAAAATCACATATGCATGGGTGTGTGTACATATATTCATAGTGTCAGTTGTGTAGGTCTTTCATATTTGGTATGTATTTTATATGTCTTTGTTTTTGTATGTATTTAAAATTAAAGTCAATTATTCAAAATATTAAGTTCGTCATTTTTTGTGTAGTTGATTATGAATTATCAAAAATATTTTTCATGGTATTTTTTTACATAGAATAAATGATTTTGTCTCACTTGTTACCAATAAATTTATAATTTACTTATTACACATAGGATCCTTATTAAGATATAATCTTGGTTGTTTTATTATAGATGAAAATTATAAATATTCATATGGTTAACAATGTCGAATGTTTTCTTAAAAAGAAAAGTATCAGAAGGTTTTAAAATTTATTCTTAAACTTTACATATTTGAGGTTACAAAAAATATCTTCATTTTTTTATTTATTTATTATTTATTTTTTTTTCTCCCCATAAAGCTACATTTTTGTAAAACTTATGTGTTTTTGATTTTTTGCAATTCTTAAATTTTCTTCAAAGTTAAAAAGTTTTTTTTATTCAAATTAGAATTAGTAAAATTACTAACAAAAGTTAATAATAACCTTAAGAATAATAAATATTATTTATAAAATTTAACAAAAATTTAAAAGCTTTATGATCTATTTTATTTTGCTTCTAAATTTTATTTTATTTTTGATTATAAGATGTTTCAATCAATATAAATACATAATTGCAAACGATTTTTTATTCTATCTTTTGTTTGATCTTTGATTAATTGTTTTTTGATCAAAATCAATTGAATAGATTTTATATTTGATTTATTTTTAATAGTAATATGTTTAATATAAGATTAAATATAATATATGTATACTAAATAAATGAATAATTTTATAATATTGATTTGAAATTTCAGTGATTTTTTTTTAAATCTTTAATTTTAAAAAAATATTACTCTTTTCTATAATTATCTTTATATTTCTTATTAAATAGAAAAAAATATAAAATATAATTATAAAAAATTGGATAAATATATTAAAAATATTTCTAAATAATTATTCCTTAATTCAATATAAATTAAATTATTATTAAAAAATGAAATGTTATGTAATATAATATTAATAATTATTAATATTATTTTATTCTTAATTTTTTTTCGGGGTTTTTCTATTGTAAATATAACTAATGTTAAAATAGAAAAAAACTAACATAGATACAAGTAAATAAGAAATGAAACAACCACTTGACTTGAATGTGAATAAAGATAGTTGATATTAGTTAAGATAATTATGATTTTAGTTTGATCATAATGGATACTATTTTTTTTAATAAAATATTAATTGAAAACAAAGCAACTAAGAGTATTATCAAAAGAAGGAAAATAAGGTGCTCTTCCTTTTAACAATTCTCTTTACTAGATATATTTTATTTTATTTTTAACTTTTTAATATATATATATATATATATATATATATATATATATTTTAAAAATTCTACTAGCCTTTTTTTTTTTTTTTTCAATTACAAATAATTTTAAAAATTAATTTAGAAGAGTGGTTGTCAGCACTAGAGAAGGTTATTATTATATATTTGAGTGGTAATAAATCCTTAAGTCACATTTTCTAAAGAGATAAAAATATATATATATAGAATGGTGATAGAGTTTTAATAAAAATTTAAGTAAAGAGTGGTTAATTGCCTTAGCAGCCTACATCGCCCAACTTTAGAAGAGAAATTATCTTTGCTTGAGAGGGGGTTTGTTAAAAGTTTTAGTGGCGTCAAGGCTTTTCGAAGTCCATTTTCTATCATGTCAAGAATTAATTAGTTTTAAGAAAACCAAAGATCTTTTGACAATGGATTTTGGCCCATACTCTTGCTGACCTTGGATCTATAACATAACTATTGATATCAAAATCTATTTTCTTCTAAATTCTAATTGTATAAACGTTCTTAAGAATAGCATCTTATATATCATCTCTACTCTATTGAAATCAATTATAAAATTGATAAGAAATATTAAACAACCCCTTGCTAACATTATTAAGCCATTGAAGCTATCATTATCTAAAAATACTTTTTAAGTAATTAATTTTCACTATTCAAATTTTTTTGACATGTGTTTAATTAAAATATTGTTTTACATGTCTTTAATAAAATTGAATTTATTGATGACAAACCAAAAATAATTCTAAAAAAAAATACACCGTACCAACAATTTCAAGTAGTTTGCATCATTTTGAAAATACGTCATACATTTAGAGTGCATGGAACACAAATCTCAAATCCTAAATTTGAGGCTTAGCATTTGTTGTTAGTATTTTAAAATTTTTGTTACCACATATCATACCAAAATTATATTTGTACTGTACTGTAATGATGACTGAACGAATTATATATTCATAATACAAAATTTAATATTCAATTCATTAGGTATCTATATGAGTAAGTAAAATTAATAAAATTAATTTTTAATTAAAAATATTATTCAATATGTAGCATAGATGTTCAAACAACTTTTACAGACTCATAATTGAAAATATGATTTTTTTTTCTATTCTTTTCATTATTTTTAAGACAAAAAATTCATAATAAAAATATGAATTCATAATTCAAATTACTGAATTAAAAACTTCAATTCCTCATCAACTTTTAAAATATTCATTTCAAAATTTCAATGTAATAATTAATCAATTAATTAATAGTTTATTTGTTTTGATATGTGTCTTTTTAAAGTGTTTATCAATGCAATAAATTGAATGAAAGAGTATGTTGGAAAAATTAAATATTTTGAGAGTTTGATTTACATAATTTTAGCAAAATCTGATATTCTTAAAATTGTGTACATACTGAAAATGCATGTGTAATGTGATTTTATGAAATACTGTAAATTAATGCAAAAGTGGAGATCTTTGAACAGCAATGAACCAGTTGGAGGTCTCCATCCTTATAAGGAACATGACAGGGTTGAAATGGGTTCAATTAGGGTTATGATGTGGTTGTTTTTAGGAACATGGTTTGGTTATCTGAATGTCACATCTTGAGGGGTATAATAGAAGAAGCAGTTGATTTGCAACAACCAAACTTTGTACATGTCTGTGTGTGTCTCCCTCTCTCCAACATCTGTAACAAAAGAGTCTGTAGGCTTGGAATTCTGCTTTAAGAGGAAGTTAGGGAAATCCATGAACACACATACTCAGGAGGGCACAATTTAAGGATTTAGGAGGAGGAGGAGCACAACAACAGTGATGATAATAGTGATTCAGCAGCAAAGATGGCCAGTGTTGGTGGCTGTAATGCTGGTTCCTTTTGTGTGGATGTGCCCTGTGCATGGTGCTTTCACACTCTTTGGTGAGACACTCTCTCTCATGCTCCCACTCACACCCTGACTTGGAAATCCTGGCTGACTGATTGTGTGCTGTAATTTAGGGTTGTCTCCCATCTCCTGTTCTATTTTGCATTCAATATTACTCTTGGATTTCTTACACATTACCCCCACATTTGTATGCCACTAATGCCACTGCAAATGGTGTATACATTTGAATTTGCATGGCAGCACATGGTCCCCTTACATTGTAATGTGTCCCTGCAACCAAACCTTGGAACTAGTCAATAACTGGCTGCAACAATTGAACAGGGTGTGAGAAGGATGCGTGGCCTGAGCTTTTGCACACCACAGTGGGTGATGCTTTATCTGCCATCAACACCGCAGGCATTGTGAAGAATGTGTATGTGCAGCCACCAAGCTCAGGGTTGCCCCCTGCCAACATGGGCACCCCTGCAGACATCTGGGTCTACACAGATGGAGCTGATATTGTGTATGAAATTCCCAAACGAGGCCTCTGGCATCCCAATCGTGTGTGCTTCACTCTTCACACACACCTCACAAACTCTCTAGCCCTTCAAAAGAAACTACAATGCTGGAATAATGTATCCAAAGTGTGTGCATGTACACACTTGGATAGGTGATGAGTTGTAAACAAGACAGATATGTTGGCAGGGGTTGGCCCCTTGATAATGGAATCAACTGGTACATTGGACCAGGTTTCTTATAATTAGGTTGTGTAATAACACTGAAAGTTCATTTCATGTAATTATCAAGAATGATGAATGCCAGTGAGATGGGTGCTTCATGATGGGACAGGAGTGGCTCCAGGATGGCCAGACTTGGCAGGTTTAGATTGTGTAGCAGGCATGAACAGTATCAAGCAAGATTATTTGGGTGTCACCATTGTATATGGACCCAAGGGCTTCATGCACATCCAAGACTTTCAAAAGGATCGTGTCTGGGTTGACATTAATCCTGATGGCACAATTGCTGCCATCCCTGCCATTGGTTGAAGCTGTGATGTCTTTCCCTATACCAGGTGCATTAATTTTGCTGTGACCCTGACAACAGTTGAGTTGCCATTGCAAAAGAATTGGATTGTTTTTGTTCTTTGTATCTTGAGTGTATGCTCCAATTTTAGTCAAGTGGTCAGTGTTGGAACCAGAGCAAGACAATGGAATTGTGTTTCAATATTAATTTAATTTTAATGCTGTTGTGGTGCCTCTTCATGTCTCAACTCACAAACAAATTCTCTTTACGCATACATTCTCCAACAATGCTCTTACACATGTACATCTTCATTTTAATTCACCTATACCAATCCAATGTGGCAAAATAGTGTACCTTGGTTTAAATCATTTTTGGTACATCCTCAAACCTATCCCTGCTTGAAGAAAAGAAAAGAAAAAAGACACTACATTTCTAGAGGCGTACTTATGATTGTGACCTGGTGTATCATACCTGACCTGGTGTATCATAATTATACCTGGTGTATCATAAGTATGCCTCCATACACATTGTAATATTTGAAAGGATTTACTGCAAACGAAGACATCAAATTTGCATCCACCTAAAATGTAGCATCTCATGTACAGTTGAAAATTTTAACTGCATCAGGGTGCTTGCAATATAAGCTTGATCAACATGGATCAAACTGTCTCCATGTTATTTCTATTTATTATTTCCATTTTTCCTTCTGAGTCTTGTTTGTGTATATACATACACATATACATATACATAAGAACATTCATATACAAACAATGCACATTTTTACATTGAAAGAATATGATGATGGGTAACTCAGGAATAATATTATTAAATTAAAACCTTGAAGATTCTTTTTCAAGGGAATGAAAAATGTAGAGGAAATTTTTATAAACATGTGTTCCAAAAAAGGGAGAATTTTTTTACAATTTAGATCCATCATCCCAAGAAATCTTTACTTAAAGCAGTTCTTTACTTAAGTTGTCACAGTGCATAAATCCAGTTCAAAATTAAAATTAGAGGAGATTTCAGTAAAATTAAGCTTCAAACATTAAAAAATAATAATTATTGATATTACTATACTATTCTTCAATCTAAATATATAAACTAACATAGAATCTGACATCATGCATAAAAAAATTTCGTCAAATTATAAAATACTTTCATTAATATTATAACCTTAAAAAAGATACAAAATAAATAAAAAATATTTTTAGTTACAATATAGAGTTAAGATTTGAGATTTAGAATTTTAACATTTAGAATTTGGAATTTATAGGTTTTAGAATTACAAAATTATTATATCTTTTTTCTGGGGTTGAATTCATTGACTTCTAATTTTGTTGGTTACATTTCTAGAGGCATACTTATGATTTAAAAAGACTTTCAGATTTGGAAGTAAGAACAATTAAAATCATAAATTAAATAGTGTCATTTTTATGGTTTTTAAAATTTTTATTTCAAATTATTCTTTGCTTACACAAGATTAATAATATAATTGGTTTAAACTATATTCTTGATTACTCTATGGTATTTAAATAAAAGTTATGGTTGAACTTTAATTGGACTGTAACATTCAAGTAGCTAGGTTATGGATACTTTCTGTTGTGTTATGGCTCCCAATTCAAAAAATTAAGTATTTCACACTATTTATTTGTGGTATTGAAGTGATTTGTTTAATTATATTAGTTTAATTTATTAATTTAATTGTATAGATTAGTTTATTACCGGATTTGTTTTACACTATAATAATGAAGAAACTGGTATAAATAAGATCCCTGATTATGTTTTATCAATAAAATAAGTAATATATTGGTTAATTTGGTTTATATTGTAGAAACAAGATAAGTAGTTTATATTGTATCTATGTACCAAACTATTAGAAATGTATAATTAATTCACAAGTTATCTATGATTTTTATCTTTTTTTATACTGAAAAAATCGAATTATATATATATATATATATATATATATATATATAGTATTTTAAAAAACTAACCCATTTTCAGTTTATTATAAAATTTACTAGATTTTTTTTGTAATTTAAATTTAAAATATAAATTTTACTAATATTTAATTAATTTATTTTAATTTTTTCCCTTTCAGTTGATTTTAAATATATTATAGTATTGATTATGTTTTTTTAATTAAATCTTTATTATTGATAAAAGCTTTAGAATAATTTGAATCTGTATTATAGCTAAATTGAAGATTTTATTTGATTTTACTCCGGTTTTTATTATTTATCATTTAGAATTATCAAATTACAAGTAAATTATATATATATATATATATATATATATATATAGTTGTATACACACATACTCATATTGATAATCTATGTGATAAATTCTTTTAAATATATTAAACTATAATAATTAGTATCTATAAATATTTATATTCACAAGTGACTGTTTTTACAAATTATTTTTATGGATTAAAATATAGATGTATCAAAAAATATTCTATGATATTTATATTTATTTTATTCTATTGTTTACTTAGTCTTATGACAACTTAATTATATATAATGCTTATATTATCAAACGTACAATCTAAAATTATTAGTTTTAAAATTAGTTGTCATATGATACTAAACTAAAAATGATTATTTAAGTAGATTATATTGATGTTCTATCTTGTAAATTAAAAATTTAATATTAAATAAATGACAAGACTAAAGATTTTTAAACAAATGATCTTAGATTTTTAAATTAAATGATAAAAATTATATAACTTATGTTTCAAATTTTAGCATTTGAAGTTACATGAGGGTCTTGATAAGTCTTCAGAATTATTATTTTTAAATTTTTTAACTAAATCTAACTCTTCATCTTTTACATGTAAGATTTCAATGGTATCAAATCATAATATATTCTTAGATTTTTACATAGGAAAATATTAACTTTTGTGAGTTCCACCAATGTATCTTAATTGATGGATCTATATATAAAGATTTTTTTAATCTTATTTAGATATTAAAATTTTCAAATTAAAAATTCTATTTAATTTTATATTTTTTGAAATAAAATTTTAAAATATTAAATATCTAGGAGCTAGTATATATAAGAGTAAAGGCATGCAATGGCAAAGCACATGAATGGCCTAGACTACTACCATTTGTACTATGGGCAGATTGTACAACTCATAGTTCGGTAATAGGTTATATGCCTTCTGAATTAATATATGGTCAAAAACCAGTAATGCCAATAGAAGATGTAGTACCTACATGGAGTGTATTGCCTTGGAAGAATGATCTTAGTAGAGAAGAACTTTTAGCATTATGGATTCAACAACTAGAAAGAAGACCCAATGATATTGAAATAGCAATAAAAAAATTGAAAGAAGCAAGAAAAAAGAATAAGAAAAGATTTGATAAAAAACATCGACTACGACCCAAGGCTATTGAAGATAGTGATTGGGTATTAGTTTATGATAGTAGCTTAGAAAATCAACATAGCACTATGAAGAAGTTTGCAAAGAGATGGTTTGGACCTTATATTGTCAAAAAGGCACACAACAATGGAACATATTCATTACAAGAACTTGATAGTATAGAATTGAAGGTACCCATAGCAGGTAAACGAATTAAGTTATTTAAACAAAGAGATGAAGGTATTTGTTTTGATGAAGAATAAACTCCAATAAAAGATATTGAGATTGAAATAGAAGAGCATATTCAAGATCAAGAATTGTACCAAGATGAAGAACATTCTACATCAACATATTGAAGAATCATTGGGGCATGTCAAAGAATACACAGATTCAAGGGAGGTGGATGTCATGATGTAACACGACTAATAGGTGAAAGAGTGTGGAGATTATTATAATTTAGGAGATCTTAGTTCAAAGTATTAGAACAAATTATCTTAAAAATATAGTTAATAATCAAAGGGGTAGAAAAATTAAAAGGTACCAATGCTGCCTTTTAGAAAGGTGACTTCTACTTAGTTTGTAGCACCATAAGTAAGGCAAATCAAAGTAGATTAGAAAAATAAATAATATAGGAATCTTTAGAAAGAAGTTAAGAGTAAATTCTTGAAAAAATTTACTTAGAAAAACTAGATATTGATGCTCAGAGAGGGCCAATTATGAACCAAGGTCGAAATCAGACCCTAGGGCACAAAATTGAGTCTTGACGATGACTTCGGGGTTCTTTTGGAGATCAAAGAATGAGGTTTGATAGCAAAATAAATAGGCTTTCTATAAGCATTGAGTTTGGATGATTTAGAGTTGATATGACTTTGTAAGAGCTTTGCAAAGTCAAGATTTGTTTCAGATGACTTGGATTTTATGAAATAAAATAGGATTTACGTTTTGGATGATTTCAAGAGTTTTGTAATAGATCTATAGATGAAAATTTGTGGATTTATGGTTATAGTTGTATTTAATATGTGTTGTTAATTTGAGCTTGATCTAATAGTTGAATTGAGAAATATTGAGGTTTAAGTCGGTCAAGGTATAAGAAAGTAGAATTTTAGATCTAGTAGGGATTTTTGAGATTTCTTACAATCTATTGATTGGGTTGGAGTGAAACTTATGTGAGAGAATATTAAACTTGTTTTTCTATGCGGTTGAGAATTTTGAGATCAATCGAATAGTGCAAAGGAGAGATATTGGCTCTGAAAGATTGGCATCAAGATTGGAGAAGTAGGTCGGCCAATATCTGAGCACATTTTTGAAGATATCGTGAATTTGGTAACTCTGATCCTTATCAATTTTTTTGTACTTGTTTTTAACTTATTTTTTTAGAAGGGTAAAAAATTTAAATTAAGATCAATAATTTATTCATTAGTTATTAAGGTTTAAATCTATTGTAAGAATTATTAGGATTTGGTTTAGGATTTAGTTAGGATTTCGTTTAGGATTTGGTTAGGATTTGGTTTGGGATTTAGGGTTTGGATTAGGATTTGATTTAAGATTTAGGATTTGGTTTAGAGTTTAGGGTTTGAATTAGGGTTTGATTTAGGATTTAAGGTTTGGATAGGATTTAGTTTAGGGTTTAGGATTTGATTAGGGTCTGATTTCAGATTTAGGATTTGGATTAGCATTTGGTTTAGAGTTTGGTTAGGATTTGATTTAGGATTTAGAATTTGATTTAGGGTTTAGGATTTGGATTAGGATTTGGTTAGGATTTGATTTAAGGTTTAGGATTTTATTTAGGATTTGGTTAAGATTTGGTTTACGATTTGATTAGGGTTTGATTTAGGGTTTAGGATTTTATTAGGATTTAATATTT